CCCATCCACATCGGTATCCCCGCCCCACTCCCCACCCCCGCCCCCCCCGATCAGATCCATGGGCCCATCCACCCCGCTATCCCCACCCCACTCCCCGCCCCCACCCCCGCCCCCTTAAATCAGATCCATGGGTCCATCCAGCCTGGTATCCCCGCCCCACTCCCCATCCCCATCCCCACCCACCTCCAGATAGCACCTAGGACCAGTCCAACTTGGTATCCCCCCCGGCCCCCTCCTCACCCGCACCATCGTCCACCCACAGCAGAATAATGATCCCTTCTATCCCGGTCTCCCGCCCCCTCCCTGCCCCTGAGATGAAATGCATGGGGCCCGTGCCCATCTAGCCCGGTATCCCACCCTCTCCCTGCCCTCCAGGTCAGACCCACGGGCCCACCCAGCTCCAGTACTTGTCTCCAGCCGGGAGCGGCTCCTCCTGGGGTCTCTCGACAGGAGGGGACATTAATACGGAGCAGCCTCCGTTAAACCCACTGCCCAGCCGGCCGGCAACGACCCCGCGTCAGTCACTGGGCTCTGTCTCCCGCCTCTTCAGCCTCCCCAATAAACAGAACTGACGGATGAGGGAGCGCTTCTGCCGGACTCCTGGGTTCTCTCCCCAGCTCTGGGAGGCGAGTGGGGTCTAGTGGTGAGAGCAGGGGGCTGGGAGCCAGGACTCCTGGGTTCTATTCCCAGCTCTGGAAGTGAATAAATGTCTCTCCCCTGTGCCTCAGTTTCCCCTTTTCCCAAAGGGGGATTTCCTGGATTGTGATTTTTGTTTTGTAAGTGCCAGGAGCCGAGCCAGCCCCGCCCGCTCCTCTAGGCAGGGCTGGACTGCCCCCCCCACACCACCACCAGGGGAAAGTGATGCAATTTCCAGCCTATGTATGTACTGTAAGTCATCACGGGACGGGAAGTGAGTCTAGTCTGTGCCCAGCTGTAAGAGGTCGCACCTCGCATTCATTCCCAGCTCCTGCGAGCAGAGCAGGAAACCCCCTGAGCCCCCCCGAAATCCGTCCCCGGGCCCGCCGCTCTGGGGACCATGGGGCCCACGATGCTGTTGTGGCTGGTGGTTCTAGGTTGCTCACGCGTGACCGGGGGTAAGCACCAGCCCTGCCGGACCTGCGGGGGGGGGGGGTGCAGGCCCCAATGGATGTGGGGTCCCCTCAAAGAGGGGGCTGGGTGGAGTCCCAGGGAGCCAGGATGCCTGGGTTCTATCCCCGGCTCTGGGGCGGGAGTGGGGTCTAGTGGTTAGATTGGGGGGTGGGGTGGGGTCCAGGATGCCTGGGTCCTATCCCCAGCTCTGGGGCAGGAGTGGGGTCTAGTGGGTAGAGGAGAAGGGAGGGCTGGGAGCCAGGACTCCAGGGTTCTCACCCCAGCTCTGGTGCAGGGTGCGTGGGGCGGGGCCTGCAGGATGTCAGGGTCATGATCAGTTCAAGCCCGAACATGTCCCAGGGCCTTGCCTGTTGCTGGCACCCAGTTGTGCACCACTCGGCCTCAGCCCCTTGCAGCCAGCTCAGTGCTCCACCCCAGACATGGGTGCAGCTCCACGCTTCCTGCTGCAGGACTCGCAACCTGCCCCTCTGCAGATAGCTCCTTCCCCCGCCACAACCCCAGGTGTGTGGGAGGATCTATCGCCGACCCCCACCCTGGGGGCTGAAGGAGCCTCTGGCGAATGGGACCCGGGGCCTTTCTGGCTCCCATCCGGCCCTGGGCGGGGACTGGCTGGCTCAGGGGGGTGGGGAATGGGGCACCAGACCTTTCCCCTCTAGGGGGCGCCGACTCCCATCCGGCCCTGGTGGGGGGAGACTGGCTGGCTCGGGGGGTTGTTTCGAGGAGCTCTCTCTCCCTGCCCCCGTTCTGGGGGGCCCAAGGCTCGGCCTGGCAGAGGAAAGTGATTCATTCTGCATCACCTCATGCAAATCCTGCGGGCGGTTTGAAAGTGCGGCTCGGAGCAGAGCCCCGGAGCAAAGCCCTGGGGCCCAGGCGTGTCTGTGCGACGGAAACACACATGAGGGCCTCGGCTTAGCCGGGCTGAGTCCCACCCTGCACCCAGCCAGCCTGCAGCCATCCGGCTGCTTCTCCCCCTTCCCCGGCCTCGGCACCCGGATGTCGGGCCAGGGCCTGCAGAGCTCGGTACCCGCATGCGTCCACACGCACCTCCGCACACTCCGCCGGGGAGCCCAGGCCTGGGCTAGTGGGGGGCTGCGGGTCGGTAATGAGGGGCACTGGCAGAGCTGCTGGGGACACTCTGTGCAGCCTCCCCTTCAGCCTTCGCACACATTCTCTCTTGTGCACAAGGTTTTGCACGGGCCTGGTGCACACTCACTCCCACCCGCTCCCGTCGCTTGCCCTGTGACCGTGCACGCAGCCAATGAGATGCCAGCTGAGCTGGGGGGGTGTCATCAGGAGAGATGCCCATTGGCTGCTCGTCCCTGGTGGGGGCCCTGGCCTGCCTTGCTTAACCCGTTCCCTGCTGCACGAGCGCTTTTGAGGCCCCCCCGCGACCCCTGGGCTTGTTCCCCCTTGCAGTGGCCGCGGTGCAGGAGGAGACGCTCAGCTACCCATGCGAGACCAGCACCCCCTTGCACCGGATCAACCTCCCGCTGGACGCCGGGGAAGGAGAAAAGAAAATGCAATGGATGCACGGGGTGAGCTTTTCCGGAACACGGAGCTGATGAGACGCGGCCACTCTGGTGTGTGGCAGGGGTGGGTTATACGGGAACCCTTTGCCCAGGACTGAGATGCAGCTGCCTCTGGGGTGGAGCGCGGGGCAGCAGCATCTAACACGGTACAAAAGAGTGTGTGTGTACATAGGCACCGACTTCCCCTCTTTCACGTGGGTGCTCGACCCCGCCTCTCCCCTTGGCCCCGCTTCCACGCCACCCCTTCCATGAGGCCCCGCCCTTTTCCTGCCCCCATTCCAACCCCTTCCCCAAAGTCCCCGCCCCAGTGTGTGTGTGTGTGTGTGTGTGTATGTGTGTGTGTCCCTGCTGCCCCCTACTGGATGGATAGAGAACTGCCCGGCTATGTGTCAGAGCGCCCCAGACCTCAACCAGAGGAGAGCGATTCCCCGTTGGCTCCAGGGAGAGGTCACGAATGGCAGCCCGTTGTCCCCGGGCACGTGGCCATGACATGTAGAGGGAAGCAGGTCCCTGACCACTGACTGGGTCCATCTCTGTCCCCCCCAGAACACGGCGATCGCCACCTACCCGCCCAGCGGGCCTCACCCCTCTGTGCTGGACGTGGGCGAATGGGGAATTGCCCTGAGGAGCTGCATGAATCTCACCCTGCTTGTGTTCGACGCAACGGTGAGGGAGGATGGGGGGCAGCAGATAGAAAATGGGGAAGCTGTAGTGGGTTAGAGCAGGGGGGCTGGGAGCCAGGACTCCTGGGTTCTCTCCCTGGCTCTGAGAGGGAAGTGGGGTCTAGTGGTTAGAGCTGGGAGCCAGGACTCCTGGGTTCTCTCCCTGTCTCTGGGAGGGGAGTGGGGGCTGGTGGTTAGAGCTGGGAGCCAGGACTCCTGGGTTCTCTCCCCAGCTCTGAGAGGGGAGTGGGGTCTAATGGTTAGAGTGGGGGGGCTGGGAGCCAGGACTCCTGGGTTCTCTCCTGGCTCTGGGAGGGG